AATAAAATGCAAATTTAGGTTTATTTCTCTTAGATTCAAGGTTAAAACCAATAATTATTTATCCAACTAGTTCACAACAATTACAAATATATTGAAAAGTGTTGACTTTCTATTAGACATTAATAAGTCTATAATGAATGTATGTATTTCGACTGTAGTATATGAAGAGCCCGTCATGTTATTGGTAGTGAAAGTTATGGAGTTTCTTGTGAATACCGACCACTTCCAAATTCTAATATTAATTGATTTTGCCTAAAACAGTAAAACGCATTTATTTAAATTTTGCAGCTTTTAGTAACTTGTAGTATTAGTTCAGCAGTCTTACAGGAAACTTTAAAATTCCCTTTCATTTTTTTGGCTTCCATTGAATGAAATTGTTCACTTGCTGTCCATGTCAGTGTTCTATGCGGTCAATAGCTGTACAAACAAAGCCTTATCAATACTGCTTTTTCATCCGTTTTTGTAGATAGAGAGAGAAGTGGGCTCTGCACTTATGGGGTATTTGCACATATGTAAGTTGTGTTTAAACTGTTAGTCAAGATATCAAAGTTGAATGGCTGACACTTGGATGAACTAGCAACAAAAGTAAAACCAGTAGAACACAGAATTTTTTAAGACATATAAAAATAAAGTAAAAAATGATTCGTTTGAGAATTTAATTTAGTTTTCATAGCACTTTTCTCTTCCATGAAAAGTAACCCAAGCTGTCCACTTGGTGCGGCAATTGGAAAACTTCTCCATTAATTGAGCTGACTCCTAAGTTTCTATAATGATTATAACTTTATTGAACTTTGGTCGACTTCGTGCTACTTTTAACATTCTATTTAAAGAAAATGAAGTTTCCTGGGCTTTGCAAGCATTTCTATACTTTGGCTTACATTTTGTTTAATTGCCTTTTATTTCGCCCAAAGTGTCAATTAAAAGTTAAGTTTTTCAATTTTTTAACGCTTCGAAAATTTTACTAATGACTTGTCAAACGAGACTTAAATTAACGATTCCTGAATAAATATTCACTGTGTTGACTATAGCAGATTTGTGCTTAAAATATGAATTGTTTAGAATAGAAAATTTGCAAAAAATATTTTGTGATGTGTTGAGAATAATGGAAGATTAATTGTATAGAAGAAGTTTACGGTTGGTACGCAATAATGTTATGTATATAAGTCTATTGATTAATTTGTTCAAAAATGAGCAAAGGAAGCCACTTACTAATACTGTTAACTTTAACTAAAAACGAATATTTTTTTCCCTCTTCAGAAATGGAGACGAATATTTTCTTGTTTGTGTTGAAATATTATGTCCTGAGTCCTGAAAAGTAAATTTTTTGCTGAATACATAAGTAGTTTATCACAACAATAAAAAATAAATAAATTTAAAAAATCCACTACTGAAATAAGTGATTCCATGTACAAATGTCTTTTTATATCGCAACTCTTGAACGGATCGAGTGAAGCAGAAAAGTATATTTTATAAGCACACATGGTGTGCACCACAACTTACTTCCGTTTAAATGAATCATGATGGGATTATATGCAGCTTTGCAAACTCTTACGAAAATATGTTTATTTGCAGGAAAATGTGTAAATGTGTAAAGGACTTTATGCTCATAAGTATGAAAATGTTTAAACATAAACGCAAGAGTCCTGGTGCCGGGTTAGGTAGGAAAGAAATGAATGCGAATCTCGTGCACAGCACTTTTTCACAGCACAGAAATGAACGAGGCAAACTGTGAAAAGAGAAAATTACACATCGGGCTTACCCGTAGTATTAACTTCACCAGGAATTGCTTCCGCAAATTGAATTAGTCAATGAAAATGTTAGAAATGAAATTATTATGCACTCATAAGTTTTAATAAAACAATTTAACATACATTAGTAAATAACTATATGACATCGTAAGCATTTATTTATTATTTATTTTATTTTAATAACAAATTCAAGACTCGACGTTGACAGGATAATGAAATTCAAAAATAAATATTGAAACTGTAAAAAATATTCTCTGATACACTGCACTTTGCCCAGAGGAATGTATACGAGCAGATAGATTCCTCTTCTGTCGACAGCATTGTTCCTTATGCATAATAAAAGTTGGAAGCAATTAACTTAAATCTTTAACTGCAGTTTGCTTTTATTTGTTATTTATTTTTTATTACCATTGAGTACTTTGCACTGAAATTACACTGAACCTTACACCTTCATGCCTCGTAAGCACGAGCAGGGAAACTAAAATAAATGTTTGATTTGCAGCATAAGAATAAAGGTAAAACAACGTGAATCCTTTTCCGATTCAGTGGACAATATTTAGTTGGAGTCATTTCTGTTGAATTGACTGAGACAATTGGGTCGTAAGGAAAACAAGTAAAAATAAAATAAATCATTGAGTTCGGAGAGGCACAGGAGACAACAACAAAAACTAGTTTAGATAGCAAGGAAGCGTTGAATTGTCTGACAATAAATTAAAATCAAACGCTGCAAAAACAATTTTTATCCGGCATTCAGAACAAATCCATAGCTTTCCGGGGAAGAATGCAAATCGATTTCCAAATGGAAAATGGCAAGTGCAAAATCGAATTGGTGCGAATATTCAAATTTAAAGAAAAACAATTGAGTTTGAATGGACAGAGAATCATAAATTAAAATAAAGCAAAATGAACTTGCATACATTTTTTTTATATTTTATTTGGTAAGATTGAGTATTTGACTTGTTAACCTGATTTTACAACAAAAACATTTTTACTAGGTTTTCAAAATTATATATAGAATTTTTTGTCTGTAAAGTAAAATTTACTTTAAAGCACAGTGAACCAGAGCGGAAAACATAACAATAGAAAACTGATAAAAAAATTTATTTAAATAACTAATAATAACTTTAAAAACTGCAATTATTATATTTTTTTATTATTTTTGGTTTTAAAAACATCCAACTTTAAGGCAAATCTAGAGGAATAAGCTAAAATTAACATTTTGCTCAAGCCTTGATACAGTTTATTATCACATATGAAGCAATTTCTTGATGGCCAACTATTAAGAAACTAAGAGGTCAAACATAACTAACTAAATTGCACGAACTTGCACATTAAGATCTACAAGATGCAATAAAAACATTACCTACAAATGCGAAACATGCATTTTTAAATATACGTAGTATTGAGTCATAGATAAATTTAGACTGTATTTTCGAAATTTTAAAATCTACACATAGTTTATAAATTTGAATCAGGGACGGAAATAACAGATATTTCAAAAATTTTTATAAAAAAGCAGCTACAAAAAGTTGTCTAAACTCATATTTAAGTATATAGTTATCATTCTAACAATTTTTATCCTTAATATTATGTGTGCTTTTTATATATGAGCATTTTAAAACAAAACTTAGAAATAATCGGCAGATCAGTGCGAGTTATTCATAATTTTTATATTTATAACGCAAAAATAACAGTTATTTGTGCGTTTTAAAATAAAAAGCAGAATTTTAAGAGTTATTTCTCTGCGAAAAAATTAAAGGCACATAAAATAATTATTTTTAAGGAACATAAAATAAAGCAAATTTAATTATTATTTTTTGAGTTTTATTTTAAAATGTGAATGATAATAGTTATAAGGTGATCTTTATTTTGGTATGATTACTATTACGGTCCCCGATTTGTTAGTTAATAATAAGTGCTTAACGGGACATATTTAAAATTTAAAAACCTTTAGATTTTAATTTTCAGATATGCTACGAGAAATCGTTTTTTCTCTGCTACTTTTATATAGTAATTCCAGAAAAATTGAAGAGAACGAATTTCACTTTATACTATCCCTTATTGTTTGTTTTTTTTATCGATGCATTAAAATTTCGATGCTTGTCTTACAGAAAGAAATGCTCTTATCAACTATTTAAGTTTAGCCAAATTAATCATAGAAACGATTTTACAACTATATTCTTTAAAGAGATGTGTGATAGACATTTGCAGTGACTTTAATAAGAAAGAAAAAATATTGTATTTAAATACAAAAATTCATGCATATAGTTTTTAATTAAGTTTTTTAAAAAACACTTGATACGCCAAAGAATTAAGAAGGCCAAGTAAACATGTCGAGCACGCCAACGGTACTGGGATATATTAATGAATTTACAGATATCTGTTAAGATGTTCAAATTTGAAGAAAAAGTCATAATGAGGAAATTAAATATTTTGCTGATATAAACACAAGCAATATTAATGATATGAGGTGCATAATAATTACTGATATCAAGGATTTATTGTATAATCTTAATGAGGTATATACAAAATCAGGTTCACAATATTAAGTAGTTGACCTTATCATCCAAGTAGTAAGATATTGGTTATATTTTTTTTATTTTAAGAGCTAATAAAAATATTTCAAAAATATTTATCGAAAATTAACAGTTACAATTTTATTCATGAATTCTAAATTTCCTTTCTAGAATAACAGGATAACGTAAGTCAAAGTGCATTTTTTATATCATATCAATGGAAAAATGTTTTAGAGCACACTATAATTTATACGAATTTTAATAAATTAATTCTATAGATTCATGTTAATCTAATTTTATATATGTATAATGAAAAATATATAAGTTTCAAGTAAACTGCTCATCTCCTTGATAGAATAATATCAGTCTGGTGTGAATTGTGTGTTTAACCCGATTCTTTGCCCGTTGTGAATCAAGATCAAATGAATCATCCAATCGTATTAGAAGTTTTGAATTAAGAATATCTAAAACATGTAAAATTTTGAGTTAAGAATATCATTTAAGATATGATCGGTCATAATACAAAATAAGGTTCAGAAATAAGGCTAGTAGTATATAATCGAATTATCGAGGTTAGCCATTGTTAAATACGGGAAATACTTCTCTAAAGCTTAGTGCTATTTTTTTAAATAAATTTTTTCCACTTAATCTTTTACAACAATATTAAATTTTTTTATTTAATTTTTGTGAATTAAATGTAAATTTGAGAAGTGCTTAAATGTGTTTATATACTAACCTTTTTATTCATAATAATGTTGCTTGAATTTTCAAAATTATCTTTAACATATCTTAGAAACTTCATTTCATATAAACTGCAAGAAAAGAAAAAAATATAATAAATAAAAATGCGAAATCTTTTTAAAATAAATAAGTTATTATGACTTTTGTAAATTATATTTATAAATAATAAAAGCGTAAAACATGTTAAAAAAGCATGTCCAATTAATTTCAGTTCAAAAAAGTTATAGGTTTTAAGATAAGTACCTTTAACTTTTAACTGTCCAAAGTTAAAGTAAATTAATATAAGTTTTAAATAATATTCTAATTACTGGAGAATAAATATTCTAACTTGCAACTACAGTAAGAATGAAATGATCGGTAATAAATTTAAGAAATAGTTTAAAAATAGAACAAAATGTTAATATGTTTTTGGTACTTATAAAATATTATTGGTTATTATTTTTACTAATAGCTCAAGATCTTAAACATAAACTTTACTGATAATTATATTATTTTAAAATTATGATATTAACAGATTTTTAGTTTTATTTCAGATAGTCTTCTGTATAAAAAGAACACCCAACCAAAGTATACTTTTTTCAGGCTATAAAAAAATTTGGCATCTTTTTATATTCAATATAATAAACCGTATTATAATCTAAATCAAACTCCGACAAGGGATTGATCTGGCATGTTTTCTTTGAACTGCAGTTGCAGCAAAAAATCTCTTGAACACACAACAAACCAACTTGAATACTTAAACTGAAATATACAGGCGATACTGATATTGTCGTAGGATCTAAATCATTTTAATAGAAAATTCTCTGGATCTACGAGTATCAAAAGGCACAAAGAATGGTACATATGGTATATTGTTTGCTAAAGAATCACCTACAATAATTGTCGTTGTACAGAATAAGTCATAAAGAACTTAGTACTTAGCGATAAATGGATGTAAAAATGGAATTTGTTTAATTCTAAGAAATCTCACCATAACTTTCAAGATACTGCTGTATGAGACTATGGTTTTGTCAACACTTATGCTTGGATTCATGACTTTAGTGCTCAGCAAAAGGAACTCTAAATGGCAATGTAGGATGCACTACTACCAGAAACTGTATATTAACTACATTGAAGTAAATAACTAATTTAATTAATAATCAGTATACCTAGGTGGGAGAAAGTCTAGTTCGTATTAACTGCAGCTTGCTTAAAAAACCATTAGTACTAGATTTTAATGATAGACATCAGCTAAGTAGAACCCGCATTTATGAATAGAATGGCATAGCTAAAAACGTTTAGAGTTTAGAGATGCCCAATTGAAGATAAATGAAATCTGAAGAGAAATTTTTAAATTTCTTGTAGATTTCTATCAAATGTTTAAGTGGAATTATGAAAAAGGTTAATTTCTTTTCAACTAAAGAATTTGAAAAATAAAAATTATATTTTTATATTTTTTCAAGGTTCATTTCCTGAATGGATACAAAAGTAATTCATTTTAAGTATTTATTTAACGTAAATAAGTTTGCAATTTGGTGAAAAATTATTGGTAAACGATCTCAACAATTAATTTCTGATTTACGGAAAATATAAAATAAAATTAAACGTTATTACATTCCGAAGGAGCTGTAACCTTTTAAGTAGTTATCGCTGATGAGAGGAATGTGTAATATACACATATGTACATGTTTATATTAATTATTAATAAAATATTTGCCAGAGAAATATCTCTCCTTTCAATATTTTCAATCCTTCAATCTGCACGCTTCAGTGTACAGCAATCGTTAAGCATTTTTTTAAAAATATTCAATTTGGCTTACGTCCTCTTGCATTCTTCTGGATGTAATCCCTCCTACATAAAAAATAAATTAATTTCATTCTGCACATGTAAATATATTGAAAAAGTATTTAAGAAAAGAATTTTAAGTTCTTTTAAAATATTAAATAATTTCACACACAAAATACTGGTTAAAAAATTAATACGAAAATATATTTTGTACGTTCTTTCAAAAATCAATCAATATTTTCATAAGATATAATTGTGTGCAATACTGGAAGGAAGTCAATATGTACAGAGTTGCAAAATCATTGCTGAAGTGAAAATTAATTACTTTTTCGAATAATAAAATTTATTTTAATTTTTTTTAAAAAAAAATAATTTTTTTCTGTTCAGAAAGTACAGCTATTGTCCTATATGTACCCTAAGTGTGTTATATGTGATTGGATCAGATCTATTTACTTATAAAGATTGTGAATAAATAATAAAATTCATAAATATAGTATTTATTATGTATCGATCTACCTGTAAAAATAATTAACTTATATAGTTTTTATTCCATTTTGAACCTTCACGAAGGAATTCGAGGAAGTTATTAGTTTAGACAGGATTTTAATTGAAAGCCTCTAGATTTTTATCTATAAGTATAACTACAATGTACTGCAAAAGGTAGTACCATACAGGGTGACATTTTATTGTCATACAATTAATCAAATGAATATTTTTAAAAATTGCTTATTGTTTACAAAAACTAAATGAAGATAAATACTCTTTTTATGCGTAAGGCTTGTGAGAAATTTACATTTACGGCTGGAAAATAGCAAGAATATTAATATATTCCCTATAGAGTTTTTTTTTCGAAAAGTAGTGAACTACAACAACAAAAATTCATTTCATATTATTTTAATTAATTGAATTTTTGGCTGACCATACAGCTGTTTCGAGTATTGCCAAATACCCATCAACAGTGGTCTTGGATTTATTTCTTGTATTTAATTATTCGTAAATAATTTTTTGAGGCTGCAAGTATCAGAAATCAAACTGATACTTGCAGTCTCGAACCAACTGACCCAAGGCCTTACTTGACTTTTATGTTCGCATATTTTTCTGGATTCTTTTTTGTTAATTTGCCATGAAAGTTCATTAATAAATACATTTGCTGTGTTTATATTAAAACGAAATCATAAACCAGTTGTGGAATAATTGAATTAATTAATTATATATATATTTTTGTTTAATTGTTAAATTTCAATACTATTCTGTTTGTAGAAGCATTATTTTTTGCATGATTTATACATTCTTTCTTATGTATTCCCTATAGTACTTTTAACTTAAATTTTACGTAAAGTCAAATATTATTCATGCGTTTCTGAATTTTGGTTAAAAGTTTAATTAATTAAAAATAAAATTTCGTTGCAATTCACAGCTCTTCAAAACCTTTTAATTTGAAAAAATTGATTATAGCATCATTATTGACTTAAAATTAAATATAAATTCCAACTTTGGTTTTTATTTTTTACATAACGTTTGTTTATATAAACTATTATTTACTTAAAAATAAATTTTTGTTTTTATTTTACTATTACTAAAATTAATCAATTTTTTTTTACAACTAGTACAACCCAATATATACCAACAAGCAATTTTATTTCATGAAATTATTACTTTTTAACTTAACAATAATAAATAATGAACACAAAAAAATCCACGAAGTATATTAATGAATTTTTAAATTGTTATAAATTTTTAAATATATTAAAATTATTTTAAAATTTAAATACTTAAATTTCATACTTATTGAAAAATTATTTATAACTGAAACTTTGACGCTACTTTAATATTTGTTCTCTCATAAAAACGTAGAGAAAACATCATTTTTTTTCATTTTTTGCGCTGTTCCATCATTATAGATGAGGCTTCGTTTATCCTTTCTTACTCTAAATCAAAACACAGAGTTAAGGAGTGATGCAAATCAGGTAGTTCAGCTTTAAATTAAGTTTAAATCAATTAATCGAACAAGAAGGTGTTAGCTCAATTTCTTTTCTTTTTAATAGAGAAGAAACTTTATTAGTAGATTACGAGTACTTCAAAAATAATAATACCATAAACTCAAACCACTATCACAACTATTTCCATCAATTGGGATCAATTTGATGGAAAAATCAATTTTCCTTCAAGAAAATTCGTCTGCTGATGTAATTCATAAATCTATTACTGAAGTTTAAAGAGTTTTGCAGGTACCGAGGCAAATGGTAGTCAGGTAGTGCTAAATCCAGGCTATATGAAAGCTGCATCAAAACTTCCAACCAAGTTATGAAAATTTGTTCTGAATCACTAAAAATAAGTGTGGACTGGCGTTGTCATGATAAAACAACATTTTTGTTTGTTGGTCAATTATGGTCGCTTTTCCTTGATTATTGTGTTTAAGCAATCTAGTTTGCAGATGCACTACTAACATAAGCATTATCCAGGCTAGAGAAGTACATAATGAACAATTTGCTTCCAATACCACAGCACAAAATATAACATTGTTTGCTGTCAATTCAGGTTTTAAAGTTGTTTGTAGAGGGATCTCAGCTTTTAGCCATGATCGTTTACGATGGTCATTATCGTTGAAAATTTAAATTTAATCCATTTTTCATTGCTCGTAATGATTCGCTTTATAAATGGTTGCGTTTTAACAGTGTTTGACTCATCTTAATTTGGTCAATCAAATTTCTTTGGGTTAATTCGTTGAACGTCGAGCGTCATTGAGGAACCTGTCCTTATTAAATGATTAAAAACTGTCATGTGGTTGATTTTAAAGTGCCTCCGATATTTCCTGACAGCTTGTGTGTCGATTTTGATACACCGTACAGAGCGATGTCCATATTTGATCTACAAAACGAATTCCACCAAACAAATTTTGATTTGTAAACAAGCGTTCGTTTGACATAATTGGATTTATGTTGTTAGATATATGATTATCAACACTAGTAATAAAAAACGCCTAATATATATACCTAATATTATATAAATTGAATGATCGCTGAAGTGTATTGAAGTTGAGAGTATACCGAAAAATGAATCCAGAAAATAATTTTTGGATTTATGGAATTCTATGTGCAAATTTTACAAGACTAAAAAATAATTAACATTAATTGTTTAACATATTTTTCATGAATAAATATTTTTTATGAATAAATATTTTTCATGAATAAATATTTTTCATAAAAAATCTATAATAAATTATTGGAGGTAGTATAACATTTACATTTTTCATTTAAAACTCGATGTAATGAATAATTTGACTGCATATTATTTGTACTTGTATAC